CTCACTTTGTAGACTAGACTGGCCTTGAACTCACAGAGATCTGCCTCTCGAGTGCTAGGATTAAAGGTGTGCAGGGCCACCGCCTGGCTCCTTATTTTTTGTAGAGCACTTTGGCACATAAAAATTTTCAGTTTGATAAAGATAAATCAATTTATTCTTTTATTATATTTTATTTGCCTTTAATTACATTTTATATATTTATGTATATATTTGTGTGTGTGTGTGTGTGTGTGTGTGTGTGTGTACACGTACGCTCAGCATGCATGTGGAAGTCAGAAAGGACAGTTTGCAGCAGTCAGTTTTCTTTCCACCCATATGGACCCTGGGGATCCAGCACAGGCCATCAGGCTTGGCAGCAAGTGCCTTCACTCACCGACACATCTCAATGGCACTTTTTTTTCTTAATTTTTCGAGACAGGGTTTCTCTGTGTAGCCCTGGCTGTCCTGGAACTCACTCTGTAGACCAGGCTGACCTTGAACTCACAGAGATCTGCCACCCAAGTGCTGGGATTAAAGGGCATTATTATTATTATTTAGATTTTAAATTATCCATATTTTTATATGTGTAAAAGTTTTTCTAATAAAACATTTTTGTGTGTATTGTTTTAGGTATGAAAAGACCAGTATTTTAAACTTTTTGTAGTTGATAACCTCAGGGTGACACATTTTAACTCTGTCCCCCACTCTTCTCAGCCCTCTCTAGGGGTGCTTCACTGATGATGCTGAAATGAAAGCACCCCTCAGCCCAAGAGGCACTGTGCAGGCGCTGACGTCACCAAGTCACCACTTTGCTTTAGATTGGTGTAAGAAGGGATTAAACCAACAATTTAAAGTTCACTAGAGGTGCCCACAAATCCTTTCGCCCTGTAAGCACATCTCAAAGAAGGGCTTCTCTGTGAGCTGGAGCAACCGTACAGAACTATGAGACATAGATGCTCCGTGCTCTAAACCATTTAATAATGGTTTTAGGCCCCACACATACTGTTTAGCTTGTGGTTTAAAATAAAAATTATGGACAAATTACAGAACTTTCCACTGTTTTAGTTGGAGGTCATGAAGATTTAATTAAAATTTTTAAAATTTTATGTGTTATGGGTGTTTTGCCTGTGTGTATATCTGTGCCCCGTGTGCATGCTCAGTGCCCACAGAGGCCAGAAGAGGGAGTCCGATCTCCTGGAATTAGAGTTACAGATGGTTGTGAGCTTCCATATTACATGCTGGGAGTTGAACCTGGTCCTCTGTAAGATCGATCACATGTGCTCTAAACCACTGGGCTGTCTTTCTGGCCTGGAGTTTTTGTTTTGTTTTGTTTTGTTTTGTTTTTTTCAGACAGGGTTTCTCTGTGTAGCTCTGGCTATCTTGGAACTCATTCTGTAGACCAGGCTGGCCTCAGACTCACAGAGATCCGCCTGCCTCTGCCTCTCGAGTGCTGGGTTAAGGGTGTGAACCACCACTGCCCAGCATTTTTTTTTTTTTTAACAACACAAGTGGCTTTTCTTTGGGGTACCTTAGCTTAAAAACAAAAAACCAAAAAAACACCCAATAGTTAGCTGGGTATGGTGGCATACACTTTTAATCCCAGGACTCTTGAGGTAGGCAAATCTGTGTGAATTCAAGTCCATCCTGGTCTACATAGTAAGTTCCAAGCCAGCCAAGGCTACATTATAGGAAGACCATGTTTCAGAAAGAGGAAGTGAGTTGAGGTTGCCTGGAGAGATGGCTCAGCGGTTAAGAGCACTTGCTCCAGTTCCAGGGCATCTGATGCTTCTGGGGTTTTTGGGCACTTGCACCCACATGTAGATAGACACACACCACATGCGTATAATTAAAACAATAAAAATAAATCCTATGAAATTAAAGGAGGTTTGCTTACATCATGACTGCAACTAATAAGGAGTCAAAGCTGTGATCACAGCCTTAGACCCTTACCTCCTTGATGGGAGTCCCCTGTCCCTTTCTTACAACCCTGAGTGTACTGATGCCACCCACAGCCTCTCGCCTCTTTCCCAAAGGCATGCTATCTACCAGCAGAACAAGGAGCATTTCCAGGACGAGTGTAGCAAGCTTCTGGTCGGCAGCATCGTCATCACCCGCTACAACAACCGCACCTACCGCATCGACGATGTGGACTGGAACAAGACCCCCAAAGACAGCTTTGTGATGTCAGATGGGAAGGAGATCACATTCCTGGAGTACTACAGGTACAAGAGAGGCTCACTTGGGGCTGAGGGTGGGGGTGTGATGTGTTCTCCCAGTCTCTGGGACATTGAGTTCTATTAATATCATGGTACCTGACACTACAGATCCTTAAACACCTGAGGCCAAATGAGCTTGTCTGTGGGGTCCAGCCTGAATATGTTATTCTTACAGTTGTTTGTTTGGCAATAACCACATAAATGAACTTTGGGCTATGAATTGTATTTTTCTTGTTGATTTTGTCTGGTGAGAGAAGTGAAATTCCACTCTTTATTAGACTTTTATTTTCCCGTGGTATTGTCTGAACCCCAGTGCATCTTTCACATGCTTCTCTCCTGGGCTTATAGCTTTTGTTCTTTGTCTATTACCTAATGGATTCTCAGTGAGGGGACTGTGCAAACTGTAAGCTGCAGTGGCGTTGGTAAGAGCTGCAGGGGTGGTTGTTGGGGTGGTGGTTCTGTTTCTTACTCTGTCCTACTTCAGCAAAAACTACGGGATCACAGTTAAGGAAGATGACCAGCCGCTGCTCATCCACAGGCCCAGTGAGAGACAGAATAACCACGGCACGGTGAGTGCTTTTCGCTCCCAGCAATAGTCCTCTGTCCTGTTGTCCACTTGTTATGTGCACCCACATGCATGTGCGCATGTGCGCATGTGTGCAGTGCGGTGGAGCTTTTTCCTCCAGCCAGAGTTGCTAGGCCACATCAGGAGGAGCTAAATACCCAAATGACAATTTAGGTTAAAGGCATAAGAAGAATTCCCTGTATATAAAGGTGAAAACTGGGGGCTGGGAGATGGTAGAATGGTTGAGAGCACTGGCTGCTCTTCGAAAGGACCTGGGTTCCATTCTCATCACCCACATGGCAGCTCACAGTTGTCTGTGACTCTAGTTCCAGGGGAATATGAAGTCCTCTTCTGGCCTCTGTGGGTATCAGGTACGTACATACATGCACGCAAAACACTCTTACATTAAAAAAAAAGAGAGATTAAAAACATATGAGCATGGTAGCACATACTTGCAATCTCAGCACTTGGGAGACAGGCAGAGGCAGACAGATTTCTTTAATTCAACGCCAGCCTGGTCTACATAGTTAGTTCCAGGACAGCCAGAGCTCTGTAGTGAGACCCTGCCAAAAAAAAAAATGAGTTTTTGGGGGGTTTGGGAGATGACTCAGTGATTAAGAGCACAAAGTGTTCTTCCTGAGACCCTGAGTTCAATTCCCAGCACCCACATCAGGCAGCTTACAACTGCCTGTAACTTCAGCTCCAGGGGATCTGACACCGCTGACCTCTAGGTGCCTGGATTCATGTGTGTATACCCCACCCCACACATACACATAATTAAAATAATAAAAATGAATCTTTAAAAAACAGATGCAAATCTGTAGGCTCAAAAGGGAAGGTGTGACATTTATTTTAACAGAAGGGCCCAGAGAATTGCCTTGACACCGTTCTTAATCCTTTTTTTAAATTAGAAAACATTTCAGTTTATTTATTTTATGTGTGTGGATGTTTGCCTGCCTGTATGTCTCTGCACCATGTGCATGCCTGATGCCCACTAAGGTCAGAGAAGGTGTCTGAGCTCCTGAGACTGGAGTTTCAGACGGTTGTGAGACAGTGTATGGATTCTGGGACCCAAACTCCATTCCTCTGCAGAAGCAACACCCCCGTCTTCTGCTGAGGATCCCCAGAGCAGGAAATCTTGCCCAGACAGGTCATCTTGCCATTGTGTTGAGGCTCAGTAGGGCCAAAACTTGTTGCTTTTTAAATTTTCTCCCTCTTCTGTGACAGTCCCCTCCCGCCCCCCTTAACCTAACACAGCAGCAGCTGTATCACGACAGAGGACACGCAGGGGTGAACACATGCACTGTCCCTTGTCCTCTTCTCCTCTCCCTGGGCTTCTGTAGAAGTTCCTCAGTGGTGGGTTTGTCAGTGCAGACCTGCACCCACCTCGAGTGGGCCTGGATGCCATCTCTATCCCCCACTTTCCTGTTTTCTTGCCTAAGCTGCTGAAGGGTGAGATCCTGCTGTTGCCCGAGCTCTCCTTCATGACGGGGATCCCTGAGAAGATGAAGAAGGACTTCAGGGCCATGAAGGTTGGACTTTCACTGTTTGGGGATGCCTGCTATTTGGGGGAGGTGCCTGCTTTGAGTAGCCACCTTTGGGATAGTAGCCTGAGCTAGAAACAGGTCAGGTTCTAGCTATGACTCCCTGGGCAAGCGCTTCTTCTGGGCTTCCCTTTCCTTTCTGTAGAATCTCAGCCACATACTTTACCACTGAGAACGAGCTTTGGAGTTCTTTCGAACAGTGCAGACACTGGATCTAAGTGAAAAGGAACAGCCCTGGCCTCCCCCCCACCCCAGTAGGCTGATGACGTTAACTGGTTATGTAACTGTGATGAGACTCCTTAGGAACACCAAATTACTGTAGTGATTCTCTAAATCATCAGTTTTTGTGAGGAGAAGGAAGCCAAAGCCAGTGACTAGGGAGATGCGAAGTGAAGCTGAGGCCTGGGAGCATCAGCTCAGCTCCACTCCCGGCAGCCAGTCCTTCACTGCTGCCTTCCACGGGGTGCTCTGTGCTTAGCTGCCCTCTGCACCCTGCTTTCTGTCTGTCCACACCCACAGATTTGTAAGATTTTGAGTAGCCTTACAGAGAGCCCGAGGAAGCAGAAAGGCCCTGAGAGAGTCCTTTCATGTTTACCTGCAGCTCCTACTGTGCAGGTCAGAGCTCCCTCTCCGCAACGCCCAACCGCCTAATGACTTTATGATCTGTGATATCTCCAGAACTCTAGAGACTCTGAACAGCAGCTGCGTGGTTCATGAGTCTCAGAAGCACAGAGAACTCTTACTTGATCCAGTTTCCTCATCCACACCCGCTAACTGCCCCTGTTCCTCATCCACACCCGTTAACTACCCCT